GATTTCATTGGTTAAGTTATAATAAACCAGCTGCTTGGCCTCATGGCTGGAACATAGATGGGAGGAGTAAACAGAATAGAATTCTGGGCGGAAGAGGAAGTGAGGTCAGACTCTGCTCTGCTCCCGGAGAGACGCCATGCTCAGCTCTGCCGGATAGACACGATAGCTCTGCGCTCTGAGGCAGACGCATGAAGCTCCCCAGGATGGACGTAGGTTAGAATCTTCCCGGTAAGCGCACCTTGGGGTGCTTACACACATTATTAGAAATGGGCTGGTCCAGGTGCGAGAATTAGCCTGTAAGGGCTAGAGTTCATGGGCCAAGCAGTTCTTTAAATGAATACAGTTTGTGTGTTGTTATTTCGGGCGTGAGCTAGCCAAGCGGCTGGGGTGTTGGGGACGCAGCCCCGCCGCTCCATATTGCAACATCTGTGTGGTGATATTTTGTGTGTGTGTATGTGTGCTTTAACAAATAAAGATTGTCTGAAGATCTGAGTGTGGAGCTAGGCACATTAGTTAGCCAAAGTGGCCAGGCAGTGGTAGGTAGCACACACCTTTGATCCCGGCACTCCGGAAACAGGCAGACGGGTCTCTGTGAGTTCAAGGTTACCCTGGGCTACACGAGGTTGAATCAGTCTAAAAGAGAAACAGAGCCAACTGCTGGTGGCTCACACCTTGAATCCCACCCAGGAGGTGGAGATAGGAAATGATACGGTTGGGCAGAAAAAGGAATATAAGGCAGGTGGAGACAGGAGCTCAGGATTCAGCGTGAGGTTTCATAGAGAAGGCATTCAGTCTGATTTCTAAAGACAGGACCTCTCATTCACTCTGAGGATGCCGTAAGAGGCAGCTGAGCGCAGTGCTAGTGGCCGGTTGCTCTGCTTTTCCGATCTTTCAGCTTTAACTTCCTAATGTCTGACTCTGGGTGTTTATTATTAAGACCAATTCAAATTCACGCTACAGTCTGTGATAGCGAGAAGAGAGATGCGGGAGAGACAAGGGGTGGTAGTGGCATTTGCCTCGGAGTAGTTAATAAGTGGTGAGGTAAGAGCCCAAAAGTTCACAGAGTCTTACAAATCTCGAGATAAGATTTATACCTTAGCAATAATTAAGAGTTAAACCAAAACCAAAAGAGTATGAGATGAGGGGCGACAGACCCACTGGGAGTAGTCTGCCCCCCCTTTTTCCTTTGCTCTCCTTTCTCTTACATGATCAGGTGGCTCACTTAATATGGGGCAGGGACTTTGTACTAAACCTTTAAACAAGCATGCTTGGGTCTAGAGGAGGGGAAGCCATATGTCAGTCCCAAAGCCACCTTTTAATTGAAACAGGACAGCATAAAAAACAGTCTAATGCCACCCATACCTAAAGGACACCTGATCCCTGTAAAACTGAATCCCATAAGCTGAAACCAAAAGAAGGCTTAGAGGTAGGAAATTTCTGAGCCCTGGCTATAGACAGCGGATGCCGTAGGAGGGAGGTGAAAGACACAGCAGCCAGCAAGGAGGCGTGTGCGTTGGGTGTGTGTGTACTGCAGCTGGTCTACCACTTTGCTTTCTCCCCATCCTGATCTGTCAGGTTCATGGCTTTCTCTTTGTAACAAACTTAAGAGGTCCATCAATGGTGAGTTATAAGAATGTTTAAACTGCGTGTGTAGTGTGCGTGTGTGTTGGGGGGGGAGAGACTAAAACAAACACTGCTTGGAGTGGAGAAAAAAGAAAGTTTGAACTTGGGGAATGGGGAATCTCTTTGCATTTCCCCAATTGCTTGAAGTATTTGTAAAATCCGAATAATGTTGGAATCTATAGTACTGTTAGGCAATCATTTGGATTGGTTATCTAAGGGATATTGAGGGCATATTTGATTGCAAAAGTGAACAAGTTTAGGGTTCTTCGGGTAAGGTACCAAGTGTAGAAGATGAAGGTTTTGTAAGGGCATCTCAAGGGAGAATGGGAGGGCATGAAAGACACCATTCCCATGGCTGGGGGAGGATAGGCAGGAAGAATGTCACTGCAGCCTGTAGTTGCAGGTGTCCCCAGGACTCAGAGAGGACCAATGAGGACCAAGCCATTTAGTGGGTCATCACCGTATTCAATGGGGGTCAGGGTTAATAGCCTGGCAGCCAGGAGATCCTGGTACCAGGGCTTTTGATGAGACCCTGAAGGCTTGCCAGAAAGTGACAAAAAAACCAATCGCAGGAACAGGATCTCATCCATGGAGAAAGCGTTGGGAAACAGAGTCACAAAATCCACAAGGCCCTAGAGGAGATGTAGGATTACAAGCAGCTCCAAAGGGAAGGCAGGAAAGAGGACAGAAGAGGCACAATAGCCCACTGGGCCTAAAAGAACTATAGGATTGCAGCTCTAAAGGTGCGCGGACAGGGTCAGGTGAAAAAGGCCAGCATACACTTTTAAGACCTTGGTTTGAAGTACCTCTGCTTCCAAGAGTACCCCAAGGGTGCTGGACCTCAATGGTCACTTCCTAGGACTCAGGGAAGCATTTAGGCCTACCAAAGGGGAAATTACCTTGTTAGGTGGATGGTGGGCCAAGAGATGGGTGAGTCTGTTGCCGCTGTAATGGAGATGAGAGATAGGGTCCCAGTGTGGCTCAGACCACAAGGGGGAGCACAGGCACTAGGAGAGTCTATCTGGTCACAGCATCAATGTGTTACAACTCTAAAGGGAAAGGTATCCTGACAGGAGCCAAGATTATGACAAAGTCACACCACACAACAAACCCCACACACAATTTCACACCACACAACAAACCCCACACACAATTTATTGGGAAAAGCACAGGAGGGTGGCTGCCTTAGCTCAGGAGAGAAGCAGGAGGCAGGCTTTATATAGGGTTTCTTGAGAGCAAAGCTTTCTAGCATGGCCTGATTGCGGGGAGAACTCAGGGATTGGTAGGATTTCAAGTCACACTTGGCTGCCTGCAACTGAAGGAGCTGGATCAGGCTGTTACCGAGGTTAGAGTATTCTGAGGGGGTGAGGCCTGGCAGTTGGGGGGCAGAGCCTGGCTACTTGCTTATACCTCAGGGGGCTTACACCTTCCTACTTTAGCACCTTTCCTTTTTCCTTCATCTCCATAAATCTATCCTTCTAGTCTTTCAGCATTTGTTTGGCTCTGAGAGTTGTTATTTGGGGGCTGAGGAGATGGCCTAAGATCAACAGACACTCACTCTTCTGCACTTCCAATCCTGTTTTCTGTGCTATAGGCTCATATCTGTTGTTTTTAAAGCTGTCAACAGTTCCTTAAATGAGTAAAATTGAGGGGTTAAGAAAAATCCAATAGGCCTAGCTTTCACACTGCAATGTGCCAAGAGAAAAATCAGAGAAGGAACATGAATACTGTGGAATTCTGTACCTAATGCTTTGAAAACATTTTGATGTTTGAGTAAAATCAACAGCCTATTTTCCAAGCCTCCAGGTTTTTAAGTCGGACATTCCCCTTCAGGCCTTCCCAAGGCACTCTTTGTATGTATGGTTCATGTGTGCACACACGTGAAGGCTGATGCTGGGTGTTTTCCTATGTCACTCTATTTCTGAGGCAGCATCTGATTCTGTAAGAAAGTCTGGCCAGCAAGTCCAGAGTACCCTGTTTCTGCCCTCCCAGCACTGGGTTACAGGAACAAACCACAACGCCCAGCTTTTATGTGACTGCTCGGAATGTGAACCCAGGTCCTCATGCTTGCAAGGCAAACACTTTAGTGATTGAGCCATTTCCCTGGGCTCCTTTTCTCAGAGTCTGTTAGACAGACTCCCATTTGACTTTAATGAATGTTTGAGCAGAGGTTCTTTTCAAAATACATCTGCCACTAGTGAAATAAACTCAGAAATATCAGGTGATAAATGGTGTCTATAAAGAAAATACCAACAGACAATATGGTAGCAAGAGGCATACTTTATTAAGCTTCCTATTAGGTTGTTGGGGATCATTTGCTGCTACAATGCAAGTTACAACTCAAATGGTATCGTGAACAATTAGGATACACATCAAGCATTTTCTGAGAGCAGCTGCTGTATCTTGATCACTAAATGGAATGGTTCTTCAGAAGAACAGTCCCTTACCCTATATACAGGAGAAAGTAAGGATACCACAGTGGTAACTCAATGTAACCAACAAAAGAAAAACAAAACACATTTTATAGTCAACTCTGTGTACAGCATCAACATGTAAAAAGTACAATGAATTTGCAGTGAACATTTGTATAAGAACATTTCATGTAGGAGAATAAATTCATGTTGCATATACTATGGCCACAGAACAATACTTTCTTATAGAGTCCAACTGCTAATAGTATCATAAGGAAGCATACTACATATCACATTTCACTATATAATCTCATTGCCAAAATAAATACATTCATTTCCTAAATGTCTAACCTAAATTTGAATACATGTAATTCCTTTGTTTCATTTCAGTCTATTTGTGCCTATGCAGGTAGACTAGGATAAATGCAAACCTGGGGCTAAAATGAGAAAACTACATTTTACTAAGTCTGCTACACACAATAAAATATGTATTTTCTATTCCAAAACTGTCCTGAGTATTTAGTTTCATTAGGAAAAAAGATGGTAACTGCAATGGTAAGATATAAATCACATTATTATTTTTCAACAAAACAGCTGAGAAAGTAGCCACTGGGAATAAAGACCCAGAAGGTTTTCAATCAGGACTTCAGTGTAAACACAAATACCGAGAGGTTGCTGTTTATAGCAATAAGCCGTTCCTGTTCAGAACCACCACACTCCCTCATTTCTGATGGTCCCTGAGAACAAAGTCTGCCAAGAGGCTAACATCTACAACGGATGCCTCCTGACTGTCCTTTCCTCCTCTAATCTCAGATAATCAAATGTCTGAGAGTTATGCTTCTGAGCACTCTTCAAGGTGTGTGCATGTACTGCCATGAATAATGGTTCTAACATCAGAAGATCTTTGGATTAACTGCCCATGTGTGTAATGACTACATGGATACCCATGTATCTTTATTTCTTAAGAAGAACAAAAGTTGGCTTTAAAATTTTTCTAAAAGACAAAATAGTTTTCTTAACCTCAAGTCTGATAATCACTTGTCATTTTCCCATAAGGTATGAAAGTCTAAAGCTCATGACAATTTTATGTGGAAACGGTCAGCCACTCAGAAACACAAACACAGGTTTGATAAACAGGGTCATTAGCCAAATGACCCCAACCTAACAGAGGTCTCACACACCTCCAGACTTCTTCCTCAGAGAAGTCACCCACCACCCAGAATGGAGCATACTAACACAGTTTACAGAGTCCCTTTGGGAAAAGCAATAGTGCAGTACCATGGTTCACACCTCTCCCTTGTCTCTGGCACTAAGAAGCTGGTCATGAAGGACTAAGAGAAAGAAGAGCTATTAAGAGAGTCAAACAGTTTATTGAAATTTTCCTACTCATACAATTTAGGTGCCTGTTTAAAGCTAAAGAATTATTTTTAAAAAGAAAACAAAAACAAAAGGAGGGGGTTCATATAGGCTAAGAAGGCCTTGATCTCAAACTCTTACTGCCTCCATTTGCCCGGTGTGGTCAATAAACCAAACTTACAGATTACTTTCAAATGTACACTGACGTGGCAGCTGTTGCTTTCTCAGTGACTCTGATGACCACAAGTGTGGGCTTTTTCTACGACTAAGCTGATTTTCACTTTAGAAGGGTGTAGCTGCAGCAAATGTGATAAAAACAAACACTTTACAGACAAGCACAACAGCACCACCACTCTAACTACCACAGCAATGACACCCAAATTATAATGCTGAAACTAAAAATGAGAACTGAAAAGGTCTTTTATGGGACAGAAGCCTTGGCTCATGTCTTCTGGCTGCCGTCATCTTCCACTGAGCCGCACCTAAAACACAAAGAACAAGTAACAAGCAACTTTGTTTTTTTTTTTTTTTTTTGTTGTTGTTTTTTTTTTTTTAAGAGTAGGCAACAGCTTTGAAGGCATAAGATGAACGGTTTCTAGTGGAAATTAACTTATTAACTATAAAATGAAGCCATGAAAACCACCAGAAGCCAAAGCATTAACTACTGAGTGAAAACAACTACAAAAGACTTGACTATGCAGCATACCAGCACCAAAATAAAGTCAGTCATGGTGGGAAACTCGCTACTCAGATCATTAAGGTGGGCGCTGCACCTGTGACGCCTTGTTTAAAGGCCTCACTCTACCCGTAGATGAAAATCACCTTGTACTTATTTTAGTAAGTCTAACCATGAAGAGACGGGGTGTAGGTTCATAGGTGGTTTATTATCTCATCTATCACCTTCCTGGCTGTGTAGTTCATTTCATGTCTTTAAATGGAGCATAACCCACCAGGAGAATGCTGCTACTCTGATATTCCATTCTTGAATGCACCAAAATGTGCATGCTTGTTGTAATTAGGTGCCTGGGTGAATAAAAAAATCCCATTTACAATGTAAAAATATTATTTAAACCCCAAAATTTTATTGTTCTCATAATCCTCAGGGAGACAAGCAGTAAGTTTACCCACTCCCAAACAGAAAAGATTACACAGGATTTTGAAAATTCTTATACCATATTAAAAATACAAATTCCTTTGTGTTGCAAAACCAAGCTGATTTACATGATTTTGTTTTAAATTGTTGCTAAATGTTTATCTACACATGCTGTCAGAAATAACCTTGTTAAGAAGGTGAAGCTGGTGTCTCAGCAAATCAGACCCCTTGGAGAAGGCGTCGAATGGCCTGTGCCCCGTTTTCCTTTTTCTCTTTCCGCACCATCAAAAGGAAAAGTGAGAAAATAGCAGAAACATTAGTTAAATCCTGAGTTATACCCCATAACCTACAGGAATAACCTCACTACACTGAAAGCTGACAAAACTTTTTATCTGGGGGAAAATAATTAAGACCCTAATAATTAAAAATATTTAAAACTCAGGCTAGGCTGAGTTATATCTTTAGCAGGTAATACTTTCAGGAGAAAAACAAAGACTGTTTTTAACTATTTACAGTTTACCTGACTTACCAGCACTGAAGACAAAATCTTTTAAAAATGGCTACAAATGCCTTGTTCACAAAAGACTTTATTATCTAGTGATGCATACTGAGAACATACAGAATTCTGCATGGTCCACTTCCCATGCAGGAGAACAATGTTCACTTTACAGTAAGTGAGTGTCAACTGTTTATGCAATAGACAACACTTTAAAGTCACATTTTTAAAGAAAAAGCTTCATTTACAAAAGAAATAAAAGGTAAAGAAGCAATTACCGCTTTTAAAAAGCAGCTGCTTTGTTCAAGAGTGGGAGGTTTATGCCTGTATTGAAAGACAACATGATCACAAATAATGCAAACAATGAACAAATGAAAAACACTTTTACCATAAAGCAGTACACTTTCAAAATGACATACAAATAGTTAAAAATCTCATTATGCTGTCTATCTTTTAAATATGAGGACTTTCAGAAGTAGGCCTCAGCATTTTAATTAGTAAATGAGAACTATGCAGTTTCTATGTCACTAAGAACTGTATTTAACAAAATGTATATAAAGTCTATAGCAAGTTGATTTAAAAAAAATTAAAGTTAATAAGAAACAGTACACTGAAGGCGCTCTATCCATCAAGCGCATACGCTTCAAATTTTAAATGTGATGAACAGAACAGAAACTGTAACTACGCCACAGTCGCGATGCCAGAAAAATAAAACAAGATCAATTATCACACATGCAGGAAATTCTGCCACACAGCTATCCCTCATTTTCAATTATTCCAATAAAATAACATCTTAAAACACTGGTGATGTTGATGGTTTAGCTTACCTTCAGTGTACTGAATGTTGTACACAACCTGCTTTAAAAGAGGAGACATCCCTGCAGGCAGGCTCAAGAAGGAACAGACTCCCTTCGGCACTGACTACACCAAGGGCATGCTGCTGTGGCCTGCACACACACACCTAGGAAAACGTGAATATAAACAGCATTTATGCTGGCCATTGTATCTGAAGACCAAAATGAAGCCAAGTCTGCTAAAAACAAATCAACCACCCAGCACTGCTACTCATAACAGATGCTTTTGTCTTTTATGTGAACTGCAACCATATACATTAGCACTTTAATTCTGTGCAGTCTTGGCAATTAAAACATTTCTACAGTGAAATTTCACATAAGACACAAAACAGTTTAACTAACATTTCTAAAAGAAATATCACCCTTGGTGTTAATTCAAATATATCATGCTTCCTCAAATTTGCTGCAGAAATATTTATAAGTTTATATACATTAATAATAAACTGCTGTGAAATTTCTTCAGTCTTTGTATTTAGTTACTCAAACCCTTGGAGTTTCTTCATCTCGTTTAAATTTTTTCCTGGATGAATGCATGCTGCAGGGCCTGGTTGATGCTAATTCGCTTAGCCGGGTCCAACATTAGGATCTGGTCCAACAAGTCCTTTAGCTGGTGCACTTTTTTACGTTGATCTTCAGGAAGTCGCTGGCACCCAATCAAGTCAGCCAACAGGTCCTTAGTTGGGTTAATGGTGCTCATGACAGTAACTTTCTCCTAAAAATAATTTTTACAATGTATGGCTCTAAATAGGTTACATGTATGTAAATGTAAACCAAACTTTGTTTGTCTATATTAATATATAAACAAGAATACTTATGATGACCAATCATGGTTTTTATGTAGTTTTATCCTCCACAGCTTTTCAAACAACAAGCAAGGAACTTAAATGGAAAAACCCCCAATTAGCCAAATGAGCATCTGCTGCCTGAACTATGTTTTCTCTGGTCTTATTCTTCAATGGCAAGAGACAGTCTGAACCAGGCCAGTACCAGAACAAGTTACCCAGTGCTCTAACAAAGGGTTTGGTATTACAGATCAAAAATTAGCAAATTATTACTTCATCCTGTAGGTTTTAAAAAGGTTGATACGGAATGTGTATTTCAGCAATGCTGGATAAATGTGTTCAGGAGAGGAGGTAACTCAGGATATGATTCAGCTCATGGAAGTCTGTGAGCAAAGGCACTAAGCCCAAGTATGCCTGAACCAGTGTGTTTCTTGGACAAGAGTGGCTTTGCAGGGAGGAGAAAAATGCTAAATAAGGCAGAGTTTATGGAGAACTTGGCTTGTGACTCTGCAAAACTCAAAATATAGACAACATCCTCCAATAGCAATATAGAAGAATATGGAAAGTCAGATCAAGGGATCTAAGTGAGGTGGCAAGGGCCTAACTAGGGACTATTATGACCATAGAGAAACATTTTCACTCCTTCACTGCTTTCATGGCCTGATGTGCTTTATTCAGGAATTAATAGCAAAAAGAAATTGCATATTTTGTTGTCATTTTAAAAATAATCACAAATGCACATGGCACACAGAACAAAATTCATGGATAATGAAGCATACAGCATGGGGACTTAGTGCAGCAGCAGGAGCACTGACTGAGTAAATGTGAAACCCCACCTCAGTCCCCACTGAAAAGACAAATAGCAACCACCACCGTGGCACACTCAAGCCAGACTTACCCTCTCTGTTACTTTATCAACCTCTATGTACATGAAGTTCAGATTTTGGTCAAAATGTTGGTCTTTGAATACACCTTTCCGAATCATCTACAAAACAGTGGGGAAAGGGCTTTAAAATTACTATAAAGCAGCCTGGCACACTACCAATTCTATGCAATAATTCATGCAAACATTATTTAAGACTCTCTTGCTAGGGCCCAGAAGCCCTTGTACGCAGAACCAAGAGTGCTATCCAGTAAGTCTGCCATGCTTAGCTACCTTCTCTTCTGACCAGTGCACTCCCTCACATGGTAACTAACTCATGTGCCGCTCTCCATTCTGTCTTTCATTTACTGTCTCATGGTTGCAATTCTTTCTCATCAACAACAAGGGTGCGCCCCTCCTTCTGCTACTGAAAAGGGAATTCTCTTTCATAGCTTTTGGCTGATCAGAATCATTAATTGGAACCCCTAACAAGAAAGGAGCTAAGGCCTCACAACAGCCACCTACCCATGCCTTTGAGAGTGTTAGGAGTCTTTAAGTCTACAGGAAGGAACTTATCCTACCTTATTTGGCATCTTTCCTTTGAGGTCCATGGCGAGCTTCAACATATGGTTATTAGTTTTGCCAGGAAATAAGATTTTTCCAGTATAGAGTTCATATAAGGTGCAACCTACAGACCACATATCGATACCATAGTCATAGCTTTTACCTATAACTGAAAACAAAATGGAGGTTTTAATACATGAGAATAAGAATGAACAACTCCTTAACTTTTATTTCCAGTAATGGGGACTACCTGAGCTTGAACTATAGCCACATCCATGTCTCAGTTTAGTTTCATGTTCTTTCCCACTAACTCTTAAGAGATATACTTAAAGAAAAAGAAAGAAAGAAAAAAAGAAAAACAAAAACTGGCAACAGGTTAACAACGAGAAGAGAAAACTAGAGGGACAAGCACAGGGGCTGCCTTCCTTCTCTCTCTCCGTTCACCTTCGCTGGAGGCGCTAGTCCACCTCAACCCAGGCAACAGGAAGAGCAAACCAAAGGTCCCACACAATCCATAAACGTGATAATCAGACCTTGAACAATCAAGAGCAGTCTTCTAAAGTCGAGGGTTTTCCACAACTGTTTTGCTACTCTTGCTCGACATGATCAAGACTCCTGCCACAACTACCTTCATTCCACCTGAGGAGGATGAACTTGCTATGGTTCCCTTCCTCATGAATGAACTGGTGCAGCTGCTGAAGTGCGATGGAAAACAGTGCTTAGACAGTACACACGCTGCCGCCACCACAGAGGATGGCCCAGGTACAACAACACTCTAAGAAACTTACTGATCTCCGGAGCACGATAAAATCTACTGACAAGATAAGGCGTTATGTCATTATCTGCAACATGCGAAGCCGATCCAAAATCGCAAAGCTTTAAAATTGTTTTTGATTCATTGACCTGCAAAACATTTTTCAAGGAAATTCAATTCATGCCAGAAATAATTAGGCAAATCAAAACTGTCTTTTAAAAATTTATATTAAACTCAATACAAAAAAAAATCACGCATTTAAAAATTTCCTTTTCTATTATACAAGTTCCTAATTATAATAAAAAGTGCTCTTAAAATATTTTTTTTTAAATTATTTATTATGTATACAGTGTTCTGTCTGTGTGTATGCCTGCAGGCCAGAAGAGGGCACCAGACCCCATTGCAGATGGTTGTGAGCCACCATGTGGTTGCTGGGAATTGAACTCAGGACCTTTGGAAGAGCAGGCAATGCTCTTAACCTCTGAGCCATCTCTCCAGCCCCCTTAAAATATTTTATTACAACTAGTAAGACTTTTTTTTGTCTAGTAAGGCAGCATGGGGGAACATCAAGCCCTATTTAATTTTACTTAACGGTATTTAAAATGGATTTGAATCATAAAATAAAAATCTCATTTCATGAGGCAAAGCATTTCTAAGATTTCCTTGAATGCCTAAAGTCAAATAACTCTCTAAAAAGAGCATGAGAATGTTTATCAATAAAAAAAATTGACTAAAGTCAACTACCAGTTGCCAGAAAAATACAATGGCAAAGGAAAGATGATACCTAACACTAAATGATTCTTCACCTAGGTACCAGGTTTCTATCCACTGTAATTACTTTAAAGCTGAAAAATTTAAATGTATGTGAGAGAACTGACAGACGTGAACTCTATTAGCCATCTGTCCTTGTTTCCTTGGTAAGTACTCCCACGTACACAGAAACAGTGACATCTGCTGAGAAAGGCTGGAGCTGCTCCAACATTGCTGCCACTCAACATCAGAAGCATGTTCAGGATTAACAAGTGAAGTTAATTCATATTCCAGAGCCCCCCCCCCCAAAGAGACACATACAAATGCCAAGGTGGGACTTGAACTCGGCCCACTAATCCCAGCCCCGTGACAATTTAGTTTAGCTGACTCTAGAACTCTCTTTGTGAGGGGAGTTATCACCACAAGGTGAAACTAGTGGAACAGGCTGGACTGTATCCACAGAATTGAGCTATAATAGTTTCTTCCCCACAGTCCCAGAGAGAGCCTTTTCTATGCAGCTCAGGCTGGCCTGGAACTTATTTATGTAGACCAGGCTAGCCTTGAACTCACAAAGTCTGACTGCCTCTAAGCGCTAAGATTAAAGGCCTAAGCCAGGAAGCTCAGCCAAACACAAATTATTTTAAACTATAACACAATACCAACACTGATTTTTTTCTTTACTTTGGAGACCAGCAGAAAGTTATCTTAAAATGGTAAACATTTTTTTGTGATCAAAACAAAACAACAACAAAAAAATGAATCTAGCTACTTAAAAAGGTCTAACACCCAGAAAACACATGGAACCATGCACCAGGGGAACTTGTGAGCTGGTTACAATGCATTCAATGTTAGCAGATCCCTACACTCACTCAGATGGTGTTTTACCTGGTATTGGGTACAGTGCAGGGCCCTCATGTAGGCTAAAAATACACCAATGCACCATACCCTCAGCAATGCCTCTCTTTAGTTTGCTAAGCAACTTTTATTCCCCACGGGGAATGCTGCACATGAATCACACTGCAGCTAAAACTAGGCTAAAAGCATTAGATTGACAGGAATGAAATCAGTTCTAGGTGTTCTCTAAGATTGTTTTCCCCCCTTTTCGTGGTTCCCAAAATCTAAACTAACTTTAAAAGGAAAAAAGAGGAGCTACTGCCAAACATCTTTGTATCTTTTAAACTGCAGGTGTTTGATATATATGCTGTATTTCACAATTTTTAAAAAGACCAATCCGAAGTAAAAAAAAAAAAAAACAAGTATAAAGTTGGCTATCAATTTCTTAATCCACTTAGAGCATACCTACCATTTCGCTAATTTCTCAGTAATCCTACCCCTAAGTTATAGTAGACACACAGTACAATACAATAAACACAAACCAAGTATCAAGATAGAATGTGCATCATTATTAATGTCACCGACTGGAAGGAATTACTTTAAGACAGATGGTATGTGTGGTTTCAGTGGGTAAAATGCTGGCTTTACAAGTAAGAGAACCAGAGCTCAGGTCCCAAGCACACACTCAAGATGGGAGTGGTGGGAGAACTGTATTGTCAGACAAAGGACACTCCCAAGGGCTCACCGGCTGGCTAACAAAGCTAATGAGTAAGCTCCAGAAGCAGTGAGTCTCTGCCTCGAAAAATTAAGATGGAGAACAAGAGGAAAGGCATTCTATGCTGACTTTTGGCCTCTACATGCTTACACATGGGCACAAGCACCCTTATTTATGTACACGTGTACACATTCATGTACCACATACATATAACTACACAAAATAACTGTGTACTCAAAATTAGAGCCTTGGGAGTCATTAAACTTTATGAGATCACAGTTTTGGGGTATGGTACTGGATGGAGATTGAACCCAGAGTCTCAGGCATGCTGGCAAGCACTCTACCTCTGAGCTACAATAGCCCCTTGCCCAATCGCGATCTCTTTAAGAATTTGGTTTGTCACAGCTCAAACATGATCTCAGTAAAGAAAACCTAACATATATGGTTTTTCCTCTATGGCATTATTCCAGAAGGAACTAAAAAAAAAAAAGCATGTAATACAAAATAAACAAAAATAAAACAATGCAATACAAAACAAACAAAAAACAAAAACAAAACAATGAAAAACTGGGGGTGCTGAGGCTAGAGAGATAGATAGTCCAGCTGCTCAGAGCACTGGCTTTCACTTCCAGAGAGAGGTTGATTCCTAGAACACGCATGGTGCCCACAACTGTCTATTATGTCAGTCCTAGGGTATGTGACCCTTCTTCTGCCCTCTGTGGGCACTGCACTCACCTAGTATATGTACATACATGCAGGTAAACACTTACATTCATAAAGTAAGATTTAAAGGGGAAAAAATTACAAAAGAAAACACATGTTGTAGATCAGATCACTGGCAAACAATGAAGCAATTCATCAAGTTGTGAATATGATTCAAACTCTGACTGCTACAGAAAGGGGAAGAAAGGCAGGGGTGTGCTTGTGCATTAATGCTATCACCATGATGACGCTGTCTCCAGATTGCAAAATCACCAGTCACTGAGAAATCTGATTGTACAGCAGAAATCACTAATAAGAGATGGTATGACTTCAAAGAAAGACCTTTCAACAATAACACCTAGCTGGAGCTGAGCCTCACTGCTTGGGTTCCAGAAGTCAGCTTCAAAGGCAATTAAAAAAAAAAAAAAAAAAAAGACAGGAACCAAATGTAGGATGTGCCTGTAATCTCAGCATGAGATTTGGGAAGTTGGGGAAACAAAACCAAACATGCACCTTAAAAACTGAACTCCAAATAGCTGCTCAGTAGAGAGCAATTTCTTTAGTGTTCACAAGATCAGAGCACACTTCAACACAGCAAAACTACACAGTCGTCTTCAGCTATTCAAGGAAATGACTGCCATCATTCTTAGGACCACTGCACACTATAAATCCATCAATACATTTTTAAAAAGGGATGATTCATTTCCTCTTCCCTCAAGAGTTTTCTATGAAATTCATGGTTCAATTTCAAAAAAGATAAAATTTGTCAAATTAGGTCATAATGGGCTATTAATACATAGAATTATACTGTTAAAATATGTTATTCTGCAACATAACAGTAGTCCTGTTATTAGCAGGAAGACATGTGGACATACACCAAAGCTGACCTAGTTGTTTGACTTACCAGAATATTGTCTGGCTTGATATCTGCATGCAGGATGTTGCATCTTTTAAGGAGTTTCAATGCCAGGAACAATTGCTGACTGTAGGATCTCACAGCTTTAATATGGAGACCGACATCCTTACCATACTTTTTTAATACCTCTCGCAAGTTCATACTTTAAGGAGAGAAAAATCAAAGAAAAAAGGGTCAAAATCAAATACAACAGGCAAAAAATACTTTCAAGCATAAAAAAAAAAAAGAATTGAATGGGGTGGGGAAAAGGGGAAGGAAATGGGAGGAAAGGAGGGAGTGGGAATTGGAATTGCTATGTAAAATGAAAAAAAAGTTTTTGTTTTATTTAAAAAATATAAAAAGAATCAAGTGCAAAATACAGTTTATATAATTGTTTAAGAAAGCTTATCCCCAATGTTTGCTAAATTATTTGAGAGAATAACAATATATCCATAGTACAGCTTCCCAACAAAGTTCGATTTTCAACATAAAGGAAGAAATACTACATAGTAATTCCTCCTTTACTCAAGAAAGGCCCCCTTGAAAACACAACTTGGAAGCCACATTACTGCTGACCTGCATGGTACCTGAGGTTACTTACTGTCTGCCACACGATACAGCAATCAGTTCATGTTTTACACACTGATGATTTTCAGGAGAATATGGTTAACGAAAAGAACCAGCAGGAAAACCCTAAGCAGTCCCGAAATCTCCCCTGCATTTACCCAGGATGAGGCTGGTAGGCAGATAACTTCATGTGTACTTGATTGCTCAGTTTGACACTTTACCTGAGAGGCTCGAATACAAGACAGAGGTGCTGCTTATGGTAAAAGTGTCTGAAGAGGCGCAGGCAATGAAATTTGTCATCAGGATCAGCATCATTAAGTTTTTTCAAGAATTCTAGTTCTTTTAAACCAGTCTTTTGCCTGCAATGAAAAAGAAAATTATGGTACAAGAACTTAGGAGTAACATCTTTCAGATACAGCCTGATATGCCATTTGTAACACATGTAACACTAAGTGTTATATTTAACTTATTTTTTTTTTTAAATCTTGGGGCTGGAGAAATGGCTCAGTGGTTAAGAGCCCTGGCTATTCTTACAGAGGACCAGGGTTCACAGCCACATGGCAACTTACTGTCTGTGATTCAGCTCCAAGGGATCTGACACCTCATACAGACATAAATGCAGGCAAAACACCAGTGCACATAAGATAAAAACTTAAAAAAAAAAATCTCAAAATACCTTGATATAATTGTTTTGGTTCTTCTCAGAACGTAACTATTGGGCATGTCTTCCTAAGTATAACTTTGCTAATGAAAATCTGACAGTAAACTGTCATAAGCTACATCTTAGTGTCTACAGTACAGGCCAGACCTTCCAAACCAAACACATCTTTCTAAGCTTAATCAAAGACTTGAATAAAAATCTCTAAGACTTCTAACATTTAAAAGCCAGTGAAAATCTGGTTCTATTACCAGCTCAGTGTGTGGTACAAATTTAAATATATGGGTACAGCAATTACTTCTGCTCATGAAAGAAAAAAGTCAAGAGATGAAAGACAAATAATTCCTGTCAGCAGCAATCAATATACTTTGATATCTTCCTTCTAGATTAAGGTTGTCACAATAGGACACGGCATTAAGTAAGGCAGGAGAACTAAGGATATATTGGTACAGAGTAGGTACTGAAATGAGTTCAACATCATCTATGGTTCTAGATCATCATATGTAAGATATGGCTGTAAATTAAAATATACAGTAAAAAAAAATCTCTTCTAAAAATTTTATTTAACTAAGATTCATAGGCTGGAGAGATGGCTCAGCAGTTACTGTCTGCTCTTCCCAAGATCCTGAGTTCAATTCTTAGCAACGACATGGTGGCTTGATCTAATGCCCTCTTGAGCAAGAGACCTGCCTGGTTAGTCATCCTCATCAACTTAGACCATGAAACCCATATTGATTGACAAGTTCAACAGAACTGCCATATATGGGCTGCCCATGCATCCCTTCCACATTGCCAGGACATAAATTTCATTTTTTCCCCCAAAGATTCATGTTTGGGTGTTTTCCTGTTGTTTTGGGTTCAGTTACTTACATGAGTTCATTGTTTCTGATGATCTTTACCGCCACTTCCTGATTGGCTCTTGCATTATCCCTGGCACGTACAACATTGCTAAATACACCCTGCCCAGTGTAGCCATACACATTATAACGCTTATCTAGGACTTCCCCAATGTTCACACCTAAAACCAAATTTAAAAGTTAAAAGTTTGATTATAAAAACAAAATCAAAAAGTTATTAACACATTGAAATTATTTAAAAATTGGATCAAATCTCCACTGTTTCCAATACACAATGGAAAATCAGTCACGGTCTCTGCTGGTCATCTTTTCAAAATGTGGAAGAAGCTGCATGCCTATTTCAGACAATTCCAGGAGTTCCCATCAACTGCTGGCAACTTTATAAACATGCTCACTTTATAACTTTATAAACATGAAGTGTCTTCAGCTGTAACACTGCATGACAAACACTGTGACTGCACCTGAGTTCCTCTGCATGTTGCTCTCTTGATTTACAATGTAAAGATTGTCATGTGATAGATGTCTCCTCTAAAGGCTTCACTCACGGCTGAAATTATCTACACACAAACTTAGCTTTACTTTAGTTAACATGTAATGCTTCTTCTGGGCTGCTGACTGGAATATAACAAAACTTCATTATGCCACGACTAGTTGTGCCACACTTTTCTACTGAGACTTGAACAATGTGTGATTACACCAAAGAGTGTGCTTTTATGGAACTGTACAATGAATTTTAAAGCTGGTGAGAAGTGCAAGCTTACGGTAATAGCCTTCTGCGTCTGTCCAGTTATCTCGAAGGTTGGGGTTCTCTTTGAAGTCTTTCCCGATACCAGCAGCACGGAGGCGAGCACTCTGCAATGAGGGAGGCAGCGTGAGTGCTGGGTGACTGCAAACCTCCTTAGGAACAAGAAATGGCAAAACTAACATTTCATTAAGTAGCCAGAATATAATTACCAAATGTCTTATATCTTAATACCAGGAAAAATATTCAAGATTTCCAAGTTTTCAGGGTATGATTAGGGTACTAAAAATGACAACAAAAATTAAAAATCAGATTTGGTTTCCTTTAGCTGGTGAGACAGACTGGAAAAAGCGCTACATAACTTGTCAACTATCACAGTGTCCAACAATGCCTACTGATTCCCAACCTTCCTTTCTCTGCCTCCTTGTCCAGAGACATTTGTACTCTTACCACACGGGCATGAAATATACTAACATTCAATGGCTGCTCTAGGTTGAGTCTGTGAGGAAAATTAAAAATAACAATATCTATCTAGTATTTGTGAAGAACCCTATTCTGTATTATTCTCCATGGTACCCAGAAGGTTCTGCAATGATGTCATAGTTTGGTTATTAGACACCCCAACCCACACTCCCAAGTCTTTGTGACAAAGGCTTTGGTTTCCCCAAGTGGCACTGCCAGAAGGCAGTGGAATCTTTTAAAGTCATCACCTAGCATAAGTTCAAAGATCTTAAGACACAAAATCCTTCTTGTATTCCTCCCCTTCTTGACCATGAGCAGTTTTATTGCCATCCACTTCTGCCATGATGTGCTGCCAGATGATTACAGATGGGAACCCAAATAAATCTTTTCTTTTTACGATTAACTGTCCAGGTATTTCATTATAGTAATAGAATGGGAACACAAAGTATCATCTAGGCAAATGATAGGTGCTGATAGTTCAATGAGGACAATATTCATCTCATGTTCTTCTAGTGTGCCTGTTGTGGTTCATGTGATGTAGGCCTATCGAGTCTTCAGGGTCTCACACACTGTTTATTCTACCTCATTTTTATTTCCTGTTATATCCTCTCTCTTTCTTCTTACTAAGGCCTTGAATTTCTTATGATCCTTTAAATATAAACTGAAAATGGCCCCAGACTTTCAGCTGTATTTGTAGTCAAGACTTCCAATAAAATGGCATTGTTAAACATTACAGCAAAACAAAAACAAATAGACACACACATAACCAACTAGTACTAAGGTCAGTTAACTAACTCCCCATGGTATCTAACACATGCATATATTCCTGTTCACGTGTTGAGGTGGGGTATGTACATACATGCAGACAAGTACTGCACATTTAGGCTTCTAGATAGAGAACTCTGGTAAAGTTCTCTAATACTTTTGTTGTACACCTTACCTTTTAACAACTAACAGTTTAGGCCTCTGGGAGGTACAAAATTAGTACACTTTGGTTTTGAAATGCTATTCACATAGCCTGTTCAGATGTTTTCTTACTTTGTCAATGAGAACCTCATTTCTCTCTGTAACTGCTCATATACACTAGTTAAACAGAATTTTTCCTTAGTACTAACTTAAAACTACTCACATCAAAATAAGCAGCAAACATATCATCAGATTCTGTAAACATATCAGGTGCCAAAAGCTTCTTCTGAGACGAACCTTAAATGAAATATACATTAATACTTGAGGAATAAAATCAAATTAAAATCTAAGTCAACAGAAAAATCAGTAGTATTAATCAAATCTTTTCCTTTTTCACACTGACTTTCAACCAGTATTTGAAAGGCAGCTCATAATACTTGATATAAATATCTACAAGTACACGTCAGAAAGACTAACATCAACCTTAGCCACTGTCAGTTTAAATAAACAAGTTAACAGCAACTATATAATAATCTTGGATTAAAATGTAGTTACCCTTAAAATCTTATTTAGAAGACAATACTATATTAATAAGACTTTGGCTAAGTACCTAGGTGTATGGAATGGCAAGATGACATAACTTGAAAGAAGAGAATCTGACAATATACAGCAAGAGCACACGCAAAGAATCCACTTCTGATCCAAGGATCACATTAATACTTGAGAAATGAAAATAGAAACTAAAACCTAAGTCAACAGAACAATCAGTAGTATTAATCAAACTTTTTTTACTTCTTACACATTGGCTTTCTAGGAAACTATTCCAAAACTCTGTGGATTAGCTCTGAAAACAACCTGATATAGTGTTACTAAATTAGTATCCAATGGGTAGCCACAACTGGACATAATCCACACACATCTGTGAGATGACTGAATAAAACACAGACACCCTTAACAAGAAATGAGAATCAATGGAGTCATTGTTTTGCCAGAGCCTGTATAAAAAAGCAGGGCGTCATAGCTGCACTTGTGATCCCAACACTAGGAAGACAAACACAGGTGGATGCCCTGGTGAGCCAGCCTGGCCTACACAGCAAGTTCTAAGACAGTAGAGGATCTGTCTCAAGAAAAGATGAATGAAGCAGGAGAAATAAAACCTGGGGTTGTCTCCTGGCCTGCACATGAAACCCATACCATACAGACACACATATACACAAAATAAGCTAAAAAGCATATAAGCACAATATTCTTACTCCCTTTTAGTTTCCCTCAAATCTAATCATTATAAGGTTATACAGCTAAAACCAGAGAAAAGCATCATTAAGACACTAACTCACCATTATTTTGTTCAACCGTCATTAGATTATGCTTGGCTTTTACTGAGGCCTCAAAGGTGTCAACATTCTCTCGCTCATATTCTTTTACATCAGCAGCTACCCGCTCCAAGATGTCATCTGGAGAAGGCGATCGTGACCTCGTGCTGCTCTGGGGGCTGCTCGGCTCAGATGGCACAGAGATATTGCTATCTTCAGCAAGGTATTTATATTTCTGTAATAACAATAGATACATGAGCTTCATGAAACAAATTATCTAAATATATGACTTTCAAAAGTTGCTGCATTAGAAACTGGGAGTCATGCAAATGCTAAAACAACAAAACATCCATACCTGGCTTGCATCAGGTGTACAATCCTTACAAAATTCCAAATTTCACCAAGTCTGAAAAGTATTTGTGTTTGGTGTACATTTACCAGGTGGTAAACCTGACCTGACTATATGAGTTTATATTTTTCATTGCTCTTTACCCACTGGTTTGACTACTCACGTATCTCATTTTAGAAATATTAATGTGCTGATCACAGGATCTATTTTCGATTCCTCAGGTGGCTCTAAGTGATGTAGACAGATACACCCCATAATACTGTTTAACATTCAAAAGTGTCTAAGTTTTGAATCTCATCTGGCAAGGGTTGCAGATAAGGGATCTTGAATCTGGCCAAGAACAAAACAGGCTCAACCAAGTTTTCAGGGGTATCGGCTTAATATAGACTTTACCAGAATGCCATTAAAAACTTCCCAGGTCTATCTTGCTTCTTCTGCATTTGATTCTTTCCTTGGTTTCCTGACTTATGGTTTGCTACATGTGAGCTGCCATTGCTGCTCTTGTATTTGTCCTCTGAGACACTTTATGAGGACTGTTGTCCCCAATGGCCCCAAAAGCTGTACCAGGATTTTGTCTCAGGACCGCAAAAGATATGTGGTTTGCCTTTCTTTCAAAGCAGCAAATTTTATTACTTTGTGACTGCTAAGACCCGAACAGAATGCCTTTCTTACTCAACTTTCATATAAAGCCCAATTATAGGTTGGCAACTAAGGCACAGTGGGTAAAAGTTAATTGCCACCAAGCCTGGCAACCGAAGTTCAATTTCTAGAAAACACACACACACAGAACCAAGTCCTTCCAAATAATCCACAGCACCACCATACACCATACTCATGCCATGACGCGTGTAGATGTACACAACATATGTGCAGAAAAATAATTTTCCTATTACAAACCTTGCCATTATCTTTTTAGATACTAAAGTGGTTTTTGTATAGTAACAGATCATTGATTTTGCTAAATGAATTTACAATATATCCTATAAGAATTTTCATGTTTGTTAAAAAAAAAGAATACTTCAAATTTTCATGTTTTACATATATCACAATTCTATGTAAAACCAAACAGTCAGCTCTAGTAACTGAAGAAATGCAAGTGTCACAAATGTAGAAGCTCTTCTAGTGATCTGGTTACTGTCACTATTCCCCTTCTGTGCTCAACCTAAAAATCTATTTTCCTCTGAGTACCAGGCATTAGAAGGAACACCACTGCTGTGGAACAATCTTTTCCTACACTGTGAATATGTATTACTCTCACTGGCTAATAAAAAGCAGACTGGCCGATAGCTGGGCAGCAAGAGATTGAGCACCAGAACCAGACTAGGAGAATTCTGGGAAGATGAAGGGTGGAGTCAGTAGTTGCCAGCAAATGCAGAGAAGCAAAATGAGAATACCATACTGAGAAAAGTTACCAAGCCACATGGCTAAACATAGGTAAGAATTATGGGTTAATTTAAGTGTAAAAGCTAGAAACAAGCCTGAGCTACTGGCTGAGCATTTACAATTAATATAAGCTTCTATGTAGTAACCAGAAAGTGACTCCTGGAACAGGAAACGTCCATTTACACATCACATACCTGTACAATCGCCTGCCTCTGTATCCTCCTCTGTTCTATTAGCGCCTCTTCATCTTCTTCCTCTACATCAAAATCTTCAAGGCTTAAAAAAACAAAATGTTTTCATATATTTTTGCAGATTCACAAACTGTTCACTCGAATATTCAAAAATTAAAGTTGGAACCACAGTCTGAGCCATCACTGCTGGTCTGACTCTCAGCTGCCTGATGGAAGCCTAGCAAACTTTATCCTCACCTTGTTCATGGCACCAAAGCTAGAAAACAAGAAGGATCTCTACATAAACATGGAAAAGAGTTCTTTTCCTGCTTTGATCTGAGTTTTCTCACCTCTAAAGAAAAGCTGGAACAAGTAAGCTGTTATTTTTTTCTAGATCACAGACCGCTCATGGTCTGCTGGATAGTGGTGGTGGCACACACCTTTAATCCCAGAAGAGGCAGACAAATCTCTGAGTTCAAGGCCATCCTGGTCTAAAAAATGAGTTCCAGGATAGCCAGGGCCTCACAGAGAAATCCTGTCTCAGAAAACCACAAAAAGAAAAAAAAAAGTATTCATACAAACACTTGACTCTTTCAGAAGGGCAATAAGGTTCAATATCCAACACACTATTCCGAATGTCCATATTCTGAATATCCACCCACATGTTCTTCAATGGTACCCCCAAACTTTAGGGCCTCCTAAGCATAGCTGTTCTTTGAATGTGTAGCGTAGCGTCTGCTGAGTAGTTCATGACACCAAGAAGTGCACTGTGACTGTGTCAGGCTCGATGCAGAACTCTTCTCTTTCCCATTTTCCTCAGTCACAGAACCAGTTGGGGTTTCTTAACCCAAGCACTACTGATTTAGGGGGATGGGTTGTTTTGTGAGGTGAAATTAGCCTGGGTATTGCAAGATCTAGTATTCTTGGCCTTCTAACACAAGGTAACAATCAAACGTCTTCAGGCACCAACAAAATGTCTCCAATGAGGGCAAGAAGTGCTAGTGAGAAATACCCAACTAAATTAGCTTTGATTTGGAGATAGTGCTTATAGAAACTTTAAAACATTTCTAACACTTGAGAAACACCACTGAAGTGTTTATCTCATTCTAACAGACATACTAACAACTATCCAACTGAAAACCACATAACATCTGACAAGCCGAGAAGACTGAACTTTGTAGAAGTCTTCCCCTAAACTTGTCTGTTCTAATAAAAACAAAAGGAAGACTCATTAAAATGATGGCCCAACATTCAACTCAATCTAGACAAATCAGAACCCCTAAAATCAGTGTTATCTATGCCATAAGCCTACCTAATGACCACAAAAGGTTAGCTTGTAAATTCTGCATGAAATTAGGGATTCACTTATATCACTCAGGTAGAAATTAAAGGTCTCTTGTACATCTACATCACCTAGTACATTTCCTGTACTAGACACATGAAATGGGTGTAGTTCCAGTCTTACTTATCATCAGATGAAGATTCTTGCTCAACTTTCATTCCTTCAGAAAGACTTCCTTTAAATTTATCTTCCTTTACTTTGCTTCTGCTCCTTCTCCTATGACCACCACGTGACCTAGATCTTCTTCTCAAGCGAGACCTGCTCCTTCGACCCCTATCTCTATTTGAAGTGAAAAAAAAAAAAAAAAGGAACAAATAAGTGTTTGTTAAAGTATCAATTAAGGTAAGCAAAGGGCATACATGCGTAGGGAAGAATAAAGGGAGACTTTCTTTTTCTGGGAACCCACCTATCTCCAAACACTAGTCTATTGAAGAAAGGTGCACAGGTATGGTGGCACAACATATATCCCAGTGCTTGGGAGGAGGCTGACCCAGAGTCATTAAAAATTTGGCTTAAAGATTTGTGTTTGTGAGGGCCTAAATGTATGTATGTGTACAACTGATACCTGCAGAGGCCTGAAAAGGGCATTTGATCTCCTGAACTTGAGTTACATACAACAGTGATCTACCATGTGGTTGCTAGGAACCAAATCCAGGTCCTCTGCTAGAGCACCAAGTGCTCTAGAGGAACCTCTCCGGCCCCTCACTTAAAAATTTCAACAACTAAAACATAGTTAATAAAACCTGTCATATTCTTTTTTTTTCCTTCATGAATATAGAGTTAAGCTAAATGGAAACAAATATTTGTTTCTCTGGTTGTTCTGGAGAGTGTGTGTGCAAGTCAAGTACTCTACAACTGAGCTACACTATCAATATTTACCAGCACCAAAGTTGTGACTCAGTACTGGTCCATACTAGATATATGTGTTATGTTATCTTATGAAGACACATGTGAGAGTGTAAGAATGCAGAAAAGGGAGCAGGATATCCTTATTGTCTTCCATCTTAAATTCTTGAGACAGAAACTTGCCTTGTTAGCTGGAGTGGCCAGCACTCAGGATTTACCTGTCTGCCCCCTAAATGCCAGAGTCATACACGCTCATATAGCCATGCTCAGCTTTTTATCTGAGTTATGAGGATGCAGCACGAATTCTAACTGGTATTAATAATAAAAACCCAGAAACAGATATAGGGATTAATGCTGACGATCAGAGAAGCAGCGCAGGCAGCCACTAGGGAGACCTTTTACCTCTACCAATGTTCAGACCAAAGGGGCTATCCTGTCCTCAACTGTTTCTGCAGACTTCGTCCTCTGACTGCAGGGACGATCCTCAGACTTCAGCTGTCTCCACCAAGCCTCAGACTGTACTGCCCTCCTGTCTCTGCCTCCCTAGTGCTGGAACTAAAGGCATATGATCCCAAGTGCTGGAATTAAAGATGTGTACCACTACTGCCTGGCCTCTAGTGGCTTAGCTCTGCACTCTGATCTTCAGGCAAGCTTTATTTGTTAAAACATACACAAAGTATCACCACAGGAGATTTGAACTCAGGTTTTCATGCTTGTAGAGTGTTCTTATCCACTAAGCCATATCTCTGGCCATACATTTATTAATATAGTAAAAATAAGGTTTCCTTTGGGTCTCAACAACATTTGTTCTCTAAGCTGTTTATGCCAGCTATGCATTTTAACTGTATTACTAATTACATAAACTCCCAAAGTAAGAGCATAAAATAGTTTCTATAAAACCTAAGTTGAAACTACAAGGACAGAACACACAGATGGTCGCTAGGAGCTAGAGTCAAAGGAGATGCTGATAACAAAGAGGTAGAATCTTCTCTCTCTAGACTGTGGTGACTAGGTGTGCCTGTCACACCTCATAATTTCATACATCCCAGAGAATGCTACTTTATGAAGTCTTAAACATTATTTACACCTTCATGTGTACAAGTCTAACAGGCACATGAGTGGAAAACAACTCTCAAGAACTACTTCTTATTTGACACCCTGTAGCATCTGAGGATTAAACTTAAGCTTTGTGCAAGTACCTCTTCCCACCCTACTGGCCTAGCTATGTTTTAATAAAATCAATTTAAAGGCACACTACTGCTTACTAGGTACAGTAAAGACAAACCTAAGGCTTTCTTTTTAAATTTTATAATATTAATCAATCCATTTATTTATGGGAGGGGGGAGAAGAGGGTTGTAATTCACCACGTGGGTGCCAAGAACCAAATCCAGGTCTTCTGAAAAAGTAGTCAGGGCTCTTTAGCACTGAACCATCTCTCCAGCCCAGCTTACTGTCCTTAAAGAGGACCTAGATCCAGTTCTTAGCATCCACATCAGGAAGCTCACAACTTGTTGTGACTCAATTGCCTCTAACTCCAGTTCCACGAGATCCAATGCCCTCTGGGCATCTTGGACACCTGCACACACGAACAGATGACACTACAGACAGAAAATGGATCTACAACTGAGAAGAAAGAAAGTGGTCAAGAGGATAGCGGCAGGAAAACCACCTGCCCGAGTCTGTGTAGGAAGGAGATCACAATTGTACACACTGGCGCACACAAACTTGGCAAAGGCAGAAACCTTACACTGAGCAGAAGCACTTTTATGCATTCCCATATCTAGGAAGATAGTTTTAAGAAGTAAATCATCAGAAACATGAAAAGGTGGTTTTAATGTAAGCCTTTAGTGTGCTGTCTTCCTAAACTATATCCAAACGACATTAAAGATTGACAAAAGAATGTTCATTCATGCTTATGTTCAGGTGAATGTATGCACGGATTTTAAGTCTTTTCTTATCAACCTGTAAATACATTTTGTATAAAATGTTTTCAAACAATGAGTTGAAATGTTTTAGTCAGAAATCCTAACCAAAAATCAAGTTACTTATACAACCTTGCTTTTTTAAAAAAGATCTTGCTACAAGTTTAAAAAAAAAAATCTAGGTATTATCAATTTTAAAGACTCCTTTTATTATGTGTGCTTGTATTCATGAATACCATGTGTATGTATGTGTCCAGGAAAACCAGAAGTGGGCACTGGATCCCTTGGAGCTGAAGCTACAAGTGGTTTTGGTCACATGACATGAATGATGAGACCCAAATTTGGGTCTTCTGGAAAGGCAACTGAGACATCTCCCTAGCCCCGTAACTGAGTTCTTGAAGAGCTATGGCTTGCATGAATTTCAAAGGAAACTGCACTAAAGAAAACTGTGCAATACCACATGCTGGCAGGAAGTGGCTATGGGATCAACAAAAATGTTTCAGAGAAAAATGGTCTATGGGAAAACCTGCCAATGCAGCTAACTAAAATTTCAAAGAGTCAAATGTGAACAAGTCGAGACAATAACATTTGTCCTTTATATTTACCTTCTCCGAGGGGACCTGCTTCTTCGTCTTGGAGACCTGCTACGTCTCAACGGGGAACGGGATCTCCTCCTAATGGGAGACCTACTTCTTCTTCGGGTTGGAGACCACCTATTGATGGGGCTAGCATCTTTTGATCGTTCACATCTACTGAGAATATCATCTCGAGGCCGTGTTCTTAAGGGAAACAAATGGAGGTTAAGACAAAAATAGAACAAACTAAAAGAATCCTCTCAACATGTAAAGAGTGTAAGATTCACAAACTTAAAGAGAGTAACTCTGATTAATTTACTCTGAATTAGCATTTAAAATCAGATGACCCCACTGGCATTGTGGTGTTACAGAAGGCATATAATGAAACTCAAAATTTAAGAATTAAAGGGTATTCATGTTAAAAAAAAAAAAACTCTAATTTTAGATGTACAACTCAAAGGAAATTTGCCTAACGGGCTTATAATAATCTATTTCCTCATTTTGAAGTGTCTATATATTGATATTTCTGTGGTCAAATCTTATTTTATTTATTATATGTGTGTGTGTGTGTGTGTGTGTGTGTGTGTGTGTGTGTGTGTTTGTGCCTTGGGACATGTGAGAGTTTAGAGTTAAGTAAAATTTTCTAAGATACAACTGTATATATAGAGACTGGATAAATTCACTTGGGAATATTCTACAAAGAAGCTTCAAATATAACCAACAAAACCTCTGTATCCAATAGTGAAAAACAAACCCATCTAACATTCATCAGCAAAACACAGAACAGCTATACTGTAACTTAACTGTGGTTATAAAATATAAAAAATGACCTATATACTGTCACCAAAGTATGTTTCAAAAAATAGTATACCATTTGTACTTTGAGATAATTTGCAGACTCCATTTATAAGAAAGCACTTATATTTAACTATAATGTGATTATGACGTAGGCTAGCAGGATACAAATTTATTGGAAGAGGCTTAGAGGGATGGGGAGGCAAAGGACTTAATAGGCTTCTGTATTATTTGACCTTTTCATGATTAAAAAGGGGTTTTTTTCAAATACATAAGTTTGGTCTTCTATAAAACTTTCAGAATTTCCTACTGAACTCCAAGCAAAATGGGACGACTAAAACACTTCAGATAAGACAATCCAAGCAGAATGCTGAAGGAAAAGGGAGATGTTTAACATAAGGCTACTCAGAAGTGAAGAATAATGAGTCTCTTGAAAACACTCCTGAGAGTTCTCAGAATGTGATGATTTAACTTTAAGATTAACATAGTTACATGAACATATTAATATTAATAGCAATGAATAAATAGTTAAGAATTCATGCCATCTTTAGAACCCAACATCTTTTTAGTTAAGTAAAAGCTGGCAGATCAGATCATTTCAAATACACAATTCCTAAATACACAATAAACTAGTTTCTAAAAAGCCTCTTCCATTTTCCCCAAATTTCATTCTATGGTTCTAATAAATCATTCCTTTGGTTGTATAATCTACTAGCTTAGGGCTAGCGTAGTGGGGCGCACCTGTAAACCCAGAAGTTAGGAGACTCAAGTGAGAACACTAAGCCAGTCATATCTACATCATGGGACCATGCCTCAACACCCTCCCCTAAAAAGAGAGTTTATGAAGGACCACCCCCCCTCAGTGAGCTAAAATAATCCCATGCAGATTTAGTAAACTGCTTCGATTTAAATGGTTGACTGAACAAACCTGAGGCTAAATTAAGTCAAGAATTTGAACGAAATGGTCAAACTATTCATAAAACACAAATTACTATAAACACTTCAGCGTTAATATAACTAATTTACTAAATTACACTAAAGTTATGAAACTAATCACTATCTCATTTAAAATTACCATCATACTCTCTTTTCCCTTTAAAATATAAAACACTAGTAAAGAGCATGAAATGTTTCCTAAGCAGGTTACCTTGGAGAAGAAAGTCGTCTCCTCTCTGGCTCTCTTCGCTTTCTTTCTAAGGATCGGCTCTTGGCCCTTCTCCCTGGAGACAGAGTTCGAGAAGGCGATTTACTCTGCTTAGACCGTCTGTCATTGAGAAGTGGGGACCTACTTCTTCTTGACTTGTCTCGCTGTTTTGGAGATAAACTTCTTCTTTTGGGACTCCGGCCAGGTCTTCTACTGGGTGACCTATTTTCCTTCCCTGAAGAGGCATCTTTTGAAGGAGACTTAATTGGCTTCTTTTCTTTGTCAATTTCAGACCGCTTTGACTTTCGCTCTTTGGACCTTGACCTTCTGTCTTTGGATTTATCTCTTAGGTCAACTGGAGACCTGGATTTTTTAGATCGATCTCGACTTCTTTCATTTACAATTGGTGATTTCTTCCTATCTTTTATTTTACCTTTATCTTCAATCTTAATCTTCTCATCAGTAGGAGATCTGGCCTTCCCAATCTTTTCTTGGGACCGCCGTCTAAGGGTAGGGGACTTTGATTTTCTTGCTTGGTCTTGAGATTTGCTTCTTTTGGACGGACTTATGGATTTTCTCCTCTCCTTGGACTTGCTCCTATTTGCTTTCTCTCTCACCATGTCAACAGCTCCCTTGCTTTTCCTTTTGTCCGACCTGTGTCTAGTCCTTTCTTTGGATCTGCTTTTACTTCGTTTTTTTGCACTATTTTTGTTGTCCGTAATTTCAAGTTTCCCCCGTGTACTGGAAGACCTGGTACTGGACCTATTTCCATTTCTTGCCTTTTCATGAATCTCTCCTTCTTCTTCGGAGCCAGATTCATAGCCTTGCAAAATGAGCCCCATTCCAGACTGGACCTTTCCCTCCATTAACTCATTGTCAAGCTCAGCTTTAATCAAGGCTCTCTGTTTTTCCAAGTCTTCCAGCAAAGCTAAGTCATCAAGTTTAGTTCTTTTTGCAGGGGAGAGGCCTTCTTTGTCAGAGGCATCTACAGCTCCTTTTTTACGTTTCTTATGCTTATGCTTATGTTTATGTTTTTTATCCCTATCTTCTTCTGAGGAATGTTTATGTTTCTTATGTTTACTTCTGTGTTTATGCTTCTTTTTTTTGTGACGACTGTGTTTATTTTGAGACTGGTCTTCTGATACTTCTCCATTTTCTTCATTTACACTCTTTTCAGAATTATCACCATCATCCATTCTATAAATGTATGAAACACATTAAACAATCACAATATTCATTCAGTGTTCAGTTATAACAACGGTAAAGATAAAATGATCTATCAATGTAACACATTAGTCACTAAAAGTAGGAGGTGTATAATAAGTGCTAAGATGGTAGATACAACAGTTTGTTTTTAATAGTTGAATTAAAAAACTAAAAGTATTATGGAGTATGGCTTTAAGAAAAAAATCATTTAACTGAAACAAAATCCAAACCAGCAACAATAAAATCCCATGAATTTCAGTTACATAGAAACTCCAGTAATTTGATTTTCAACAAGCATTTCTCACACAAACTTAAACAAAAGTTTTTTGTTTTCATAAAGCATAGGTACTGACATACTGGGAAGCTAATCTCGTCAGCATGACACTCAGAGAACTTGCTGGTTCTACAATAAGCCTAGCAGCTTACTAGTGAACATCTCACTAAATCATCCCCTCTTGAAAGAAAAAAAAAAAATCTCAAGGCTACTACTGACTAGCTCAAATAAGCAGTCATTGTGCACTGGAAGTTTCTCAAGATGACAGTAATAATATAAACAAATCCCAATGGGCTAAGAGTTCAGAGAACTAGCCAAGAGTGAGGACTCCTGGCTTGTAGCTGACTAGCTACAACAACCACAAGGAAGGACATTCTGGAGGTCAACAGTAGTCTAATACCAGAAACGTTGCAGGATTTGATCTAGTATTTGTTCAGCAAATTATTCGCTCTCTATGAATTTCCAATAGAAACTGTTATCCCAAATTATGTTCATATTCACAGGTGAATGCAAAAAAAGAATGAACTAAGGCATGTTCTGCATTTTATTTAAATGCTTGTGTTTTATTGAAAGAGTCTGACTCTCAACTTATCAAGGCTTAGTGTTCAGTAATTCCAGATTAAATACAGCCTCGACAACACTGCAGATGCTCCTTGACTTACATGGGGTTGTGTTCCAGCACAGCCACTGTAAATTCAAAACATTCTAAATGAAATAACATATTGAACGCACCAATCCTGCCAAAGGTCACAGCTTTGACAACCAGTAAGCACGTATCATCCCCCTTTGAAAGCAATTCACCACTGCTTTCTACAAGATGGGACCAAGGGTGAATTTAGGAGTCTTGGGTTCCGTCCACCACACTAATTTGGAGGAAGGTACAGTTTGTGTGCCTCCAATGATATATTCCTAATGCTTCTGGGTAAGGTTTTGTTTGTTTCTTGCAAAGGAAGAATCATGAATCTATTAGTCAGTCCTGAACATTTTTAAATGACCTACTACTATAAACAGATTTTCAGCAAGGTGACCAGAAAATAAAAATGTGCAAGGACACATTTGCCTCCCTCAAGGAAAGGACACCACACAAAACACTAGAGAAGTACCAGTAACAAAAGACACAAACAAGGGGGTGTTGAACATGGAAAGGTCACTTAAACCTATTTTTAAGAACAGACGAAAAGGGTGTTTTGTAGATCACAGGGGAAGGGAGGTGTGTGTGTGTGGAGGGCGAGAATCCAATCCATCTGTTAAGTGGGCATGGTAAAGAAAAGATGGTAACTGAGAAGGAGTCTGGGCTAAAAACTAAAGGTGCAGTAACAGTGTTCTAGAGAGTGAGGAAAGAATGTGGAGAAATGGCACTTGGAATGGAGAAAGCAGGTGGCACACGGCAGTCATACAGAGAAAACACAGATACCCGTGGTCAATGCGCCAGCCCTGTGGAAGACCCTAGGTATGCGGTTCTAGAAGAGACTGAGACAGAACGAGAACCCAAAGGCACAGGAACTGCGAGGTTAATGGGATGGCTGAGCTACCTAGAAAGGAACCACCATTCTGGGGACTGCAGCAGGACATGGGGACACAGTCTCTTCCTCTGGCAGGCCTCCCTTCTCAGTAACTTGGTAGGGGTGAGGAGACAAGAGCATTTCTGAGTGAGAAGGTACCAGCCGACAACGACAAAGGCACGGAAGGCACAAAGCCATTACACAGTTCAGACAAAACTTCAATTTCTGTTAAAGTACTAAAGAGATACGCGGAGGACACTGTCCTGTGATGAGCCGGGTTTTAGTGTGTATCCATCTCTTACTAGTAGACTATGAGATGATACAGGAGAAACATAGGATGGTTCCCTGAATCGCATTTTTTTCCCTTGACTCTTGATAAGGGGGAAAGGTTCAAGAAAAATTGCACTAATCTTTTTAAAGGTAATTTAATACACATTTTAAATTTGTATAAAATACAAGTAAAAAATTACTTGATACAAGTATAAAATTCATAGTAAAGAATTTTAGTCATGAAAGTAATTATAAATCATACTACATAAAATTGCTCTAAAATGAAAGCAAGCAATCCCCAAGCTAGATTGCTGCAGTGAAAACTTGGTCCCACTACTGTACTATAGTGAGGATTTGACAAGGACCCCCACACCCCAACCCTGAAATGGGGTTTCTCTGTGTAGCCCTGGCTGTTCTGGAACTTGCTTAGTAGACCAGGTTGGCCTCAAATGATCCACCTGCTTCTGTGTGTCCAGTGCTGGGACTACAATTTGGCAAATTTAAAGTATCTATAAGTTCAGAAGGGGAAAACAACTCTACCTACCTAAAAAGATATTAAATGCTTATCTGTAACAGTATTTAGCATGAACTGCCCCCCCAGCTAGATATTATTGTATACATATTAGACACATATACCTATTCAAACATACTCTGTGGAGATGACTGGGTGGTTATTAATTCACTGAAGGAGTACCATCAAAAGGGAATGATTCTAGAATCAAGCTACCTGACTCAAAGTGCCCCCAACACAACCCAGGTGTTGTAACCCCGGGAAAGGTGCTCCTCTAATGCTATTTCTCCTGCTATAAAATCTAGGTAGCAGTAATCATAGGCTTGTTGGGACAATTAGATTAAATTCACACGCAATGTGGTCACAGTAATTACATGAGTCCTGCTTTTGCTTCCTTAGCACAGAGTGCTCCCTAGAAGATTTCTATGCGCACACATGGTACTTACTCCTCGGTACTTAATAGGCAATACTCTAAGTGATTCAAATCTACCCATTTCCTCCCCCAAAACACCTGGGTTTTTTGTTTTGTTTTTCAATGGTGGAAATAGAATGTTAAGTATAGCCTTTAACTTTATGTATGAAATAAGTTCCATTACAAACAGTGACATTTTATCTAGCTTAAAAAAAAATCTACAATTTTACAAATTATAATTTCCTGATAACAAACGTTACCTTGGGACAGTGTTAACTAAAATAATCCTATACACCCAGAGAGCAAACTGCTAACTTCTACAGTTGATCTTTCAAAACAAACAAGTGTCACAGTTTATGGTTCCAGGGGCACGTTAGTGCCTGGCATGTGTCAAATCTTGGAACAACAACAACAACAAAATTGGTATATAAATAAATACAAGAAATTGGTATATAAATAAAGTATCAAAAGTGGGTTCATGCCAGGCGGTGGTGGCGCACGCCATTAATCCCAGGACTCGGGAGGCAGAGGCAGGCAGATCTCTGTGAGTTCGAGGCCAGCCTGGTCTACAAGAGCTAGCTCCAGGATAGGAATCAAAAGCAACGGAGAAACCCTGTCTCGAAAATCAAAAAAAAAAAAAAGGCAGGTTCATTATTCACCAAGCTCAAGTGTTATTTTACCTTTGTTTTTCACAGACTTCTCCCAGAAACAGGGGCAGGGTAAGGTGGGGTTATCACAATGCAACCAGGCTGGCTTGGGACTGCCATTCCTCCCTCCTCGGCTACCCCCTTACTGGGATTATAAGCATGCACCACCATGAGCAGATCAGAGACAGACTGTCTGTGACAGAGTCTCACTTTATGGCCTTAGGTGGCTTGGAACTCGGAGAGACCTGCCTCTCTAGAGCTGGGATTAAATATTTACAACATCATGCCTTGTTATCAATCGATATTCTTTTTTTCCTTTTTAAAAATTTGTGGCTTTTCAAGATAGAGTTTCTGTGAACCCTGGTTGGCCTTGAACTCAGAGGTCCTGCTTTTGCCTCCTGAGTGCTGGAATTAAAGGCATACACCACTACTGCCCAGCTAGGATAGTCTTATCATTATTGCAAGTACTCAGCTTATCCATTAGAAACAAGCAAGGTAGACAATTGTTTTTTAAAGAAACAATTCTTTAAAAATATATATATATATATATTAATGTTAAGCAGAGTGAATGTAAAGGAAGTCGTTAAACGACTTCTCTTACAAACTGAAATACTTTAAAAACAGAATTGATGTATATTATCAGCTAGAATGGATCCCAAAGACCAATCAGTCTTAGATCTAGCTTCCAAATCATGTTTTAGAGATTAAATTTTAATGAATTACATCAAAACCCATCTTAGCTGGGAATGGTACGGCATGCTTGGGAGGCTGGTTTGAAGGACACCGCAACCCTCATGCGGGTAGAGTGTATCTCTGTGACAGAGTGCTTACTTAGGCGAGCACAGGTGAGGCTGAGTTCACTCCTAGTACCAGGCCCTTCTCAATAATCTCAGGCTGAGAATGTGGCTCAGGAGTAAAGTACTTGCTTATTAACATGTTTTGCCCCCCTACAAGGATCTTTCTGGGACACTAGCAAAAAAATTATTTCAAACCTTAAGCAAAACTGAAAAGGGGTCACAGTACAACAGTCAAAAAGGAGTCTTTAAAACCAGACTGCACAAATTTAAATGTGACCTTGAGCAAACTACCTTTCTGTTAGTTTCATCACCCATAAAAGAAACAGCAATAACAGCATCTACCTCAGTAGTATTGTTAAAAGAATTAATGAGCTACTATTTGAATGATTTGAATAGTACCTTGTCGCTAGTGACTGCAAAGATTTTTTTTTTAAAAGCTAAACTAAAGAAGCTGACAAATGTACAGGCAATTACAACAAAAGCTCTTTGAGGAATTTTTAAACTATGTAACATATGTATTCTTTCTTAATTTTCTATTTGAATAGTTTCCCTGTAACTACAAGCTAACCAGTGTACTAGAAGCCATTTAGACACTGAGCACTGTGGTCAGAAGCCCACATAGTGCCTGCTTTCATAGCAAACTGTCACTTTCTTCATTATTACTTTCAAATTAGTGAAAATAGGGCACAGAAAAAAATATTCCATTTACACAATTTCTGTGGGGGAAGGGAGGGCAAATTAAAGACTACCCCCAGTGTTATGTGCAGTTGCCAGAGCCCAAAACAAATGCATGTTTATAACTATAGTATTATTTAATCGTGCAAATGTCATAGGGCTGAATCATCTTCAAAATGAACTCTACCTTCAAATTAAATAAAGGGACATAATACTAGGAACTTTTGAGATTACAAGAACAGCCGAAGACACCCATTGTACTGACCTGACATCCTGTAACTGCCACACAAGGACCTCTATGAGAAACAATAAGCTGTGTCTAGTTAAAATCCTGTCTGTTCTCTGCTAAGCCAAACTGTCACAACAAAACACACTTAATAAAAAACAAGAAACAAAACAAACAACAACAACAAAAAACCACGCTGACTTCTCTGTCAAGTGGAGTAAAGCAAATGACAGGGGAACCCAGAACTAGACTCTGAGCAAAGAAATCAAGTTTATCTGGTAGCAAAGCCGTCCTCTATCACAAGTTGCTGGAGACGGTATTAAACGCTTTCCTAGAGAGGCTGGAAACCCTAGATAATGCAGGTGTGTGTGTGGGTATGTGTGGGGGTGGTTCTGTTGCAACACTGTCTTCAACGCCATTCTCCTTTAAGTTAAATTTTCTAGCATAAACACGAGGAAAAAATAAAACCACTGCTCTTATTTAAGCAACGGCTAGCCTTTGCCTATTCGAGGATGTGTTTTCACTTGGTCTCAACAACTTCTGTGTTAGTTTACTTATAAACACAGAGTAGAATGGTTTAAACATAGCAACAATTCCCAACATTTCTCCCATGTGTCTTCAGAACAGGCAATAAACCAGGGCAAAAACTGTCAGGCCTCAAAAACCAGGAAGTGTACCTTACTTTGCCTCAAGTTTGGAAGTTGGAAATAAGCTGCCAATGAGCAGAGAAATACCGGGCTGTGGCTGAAAAGGGGAGGGCGAAGGACTTCGCTAGCATAGACAATTTCCGAGACAGTCGGAAAGTGCGACCCTAGCACCTCCGTCTCGGACCGCAGCGTTAGGGGACGCGTTAGCAAAGTAGGGCTTGGTCTGCCTGCCGCCACTGTCCCTCGGTTCCCCCACGCAGAGGTCGCCGAGGGTCGAGCCCAGGGAGCTCCACCGTCCCCGGGGGAGGAGCACGAAGGCGCGACCTCAGAGCAGCCATAGCCGCCACGCGAACTGGACCTGTAGGGGCCGCTCGAGCCGCCGCCTCCCAGGGCAACGACGCGCAGCAGGCCGCGCTGCTGGCGCCCCAACAGCCGCGGCCCCACGGGCAGCAAAGCAGGGGCCGCTCCCACGCCTCCCACCGCACCACCCACGGCGCGCGGAAAGGCAAAGTTTGGCTGTCGCCGTTAGGCCTGAACTTTCCCGCCCGTCGCGCAGGTCGCCACCGCCTCCCGGCCGGCGGCCCGCGGGCCCGGCGCCCCCACTCCCCCCGCACGGTCCACTTACTCCGCCTGCTCCCGCAGCGACGGGGGCTCCGCGGCGGCCATCTTGAACTTCCCGACTTCTCCGCCGCGCTGCCGGCGGCTCCTCGAACCGTGGACGCCAGTGGAAGCGGAGGAAGAAGGGAAAAGCAGTCGCGCATGTGCAAAGCACGTAGAGAAAAGCAGCGCTCTGAGTCCGCGCTAAGAATCCGGATAGACAAACCCCACTTCCTGCGGCGGGACCAGGCGCCTTGACGTCACTTCCGGAGCTAGGGGCGGGCCGAGCGGGGACGAAGGTCTTTCTAACTTGAGCGACGGCCCTTAGGGGAAGCTGAGCGTTTCCATGTAGAAACTTAGAGTAAGGAGCAAAGGGGTGGGATGCTGGTATTATTGGGCGTGCATCTCTGGGAGCTGATTCTTGATGGAGCCCAGAAGTGGGTGAAAATACCTCTGTGTCTCTTACTGCTGTTGATTGATTAGCCGAAAGCTTTTAAAGCGCCAGAATCTCCCCCAGGTCCCCTTTTGACCATATGTTCTTTGTGGTTTGCTTTATATGAAAATTAAGCTTTCTGGTTTTTGAAGGGATAAGTAAAAGATAAATAACGGACGCCGTCCGATACCGAACTGTGACCAATTTCAGATTTACGTAAACCTTTCTTAAATAGAATAAAGCTAGGTGGCCTTTAATCCCAGCACTCGGGAGGCAGAAGCAGGTGGATCTCTATGAGTTCAAGACCAGCCTGCTCTACAAGATCTGCTGGGGCAGGACAGGCTCCAAAGCTACAGAGAAACCCTGTCTTGAAAACAAACAATAAGAACAAAACAAAAAGAGTAGAATAAAGCAGTCAGGGAATTTTTGGCGAAATTTTTCCTTTGAAGATTTTTTTTTCACCAAATTCATTTCCATGCTATTATCAGTTGGGGAGCGAAAGAGAAGATTAAAACATTCCATATTGTTTCATTTAGCAGTTAGAGGAAACGTTTACAAAGTGACGGACAGACCAAACAGTTCCTTCTAGTACTTTTTCCGCCTCGGGATCCCTGGTATCGGAACGCCCGGACCCGTAGCCACAGTTTCCGCGGAGCGGGGCGGAAGTGAACGCTCCAACGCTTCGCACCAGCTTCCCGGAAGTCTTTGGCACCTAGAAAGACGCAGGCGTGCGTGCGTCCTGGGAAACGCGTGGGCGTGTTCAAAGCGAGCCGCGGTCATTGCTGCCACAGAACTGAGGCGAGCTTGGTTTAGCGAGGCTGTGCCAGTTCCGGGCTCCTGCCCAGCGCGTCTCCGCCTCCTGGCCTGCGACGTCAGCGGAGCTTGCCTCTGCGCTCTGCGCTTCCCTGCGGACCCCAAGTTCCCTCCAGTAGAGCTCCGTCCTGTTCGGTGACACTGGAAACAACGCTTGGGGCACCGCGGGCAGACAGTGCAAAAAGTTGAGACTTTGGAGGCAAGCGCGTTTTTGTGAACGCTTCATTTTCCCCTACCACCTGTGCTTGCTTCGAGTATTATTTTTAACGAGATGTACATTCCTGAAATAATTGGAAAATATCTTTGAGTTAAGTGTATTCCTGTGGAAAGCTAGTAAACTCGTACCTTCTAAAAGGCGGATACTCATCAATCCCCAGTAAGCTCTTAATAGGCTCATTGTGACAGACTACCAACAAATTACGAGCATCGTAAACTCCTTTGACTCTTGTAGTTTCCAGATGTCTTTGAAGGATGTAGAACGCCAGCCAAGTGGACAGCACTTGAGTTTAGAGTTGGAATTTGGGGTTTTGTGGGAAGACGCCAAACTGATATTAACACGCATGAGGAGGCATCATGCCTCCTGTCTTAATTTAGCTTTTTGTTGTTTTGAAGCAGTTCTGGTGCATTTATGAAAACGGGGCAAACGCAAAGTAAAGAAAACCCTCCCTCCATTACCCACATTGAACAAACAAGAATATGTCGGTTTATTTTTAGTCTTATGTGAAATATTTAATTTTCTCACACTTGTGTTCACTATGACATAGTTTGCTCTCTGATGTGATAGCTCTCAATGTTTATGTCATTCTGCTTTGGCAAACATCTAGCTGCATTGTTTTTCTTGTTATTAGGTGTCTAGATTGTAGCAGTTTTTGCTCTATTATAACTATAAAGAAAAACAGAACAGTGTTTAGAAAAAACAAGGGGGCTGGCAGGTGGGGTGGCTCAGTGGGAAAAGATGCCTGCCAAGAGGCCTGAGGCTAGGTTCAATATTCAAACCCCCTCTTAAATTGTCTAATGATCTCTATTCATGCACACACAAATAAGATGTAATAAAACTATTTTTAAAAGAACCTAGGATTTATGTCAATAAAGGCTTCTTCATTTATGGTGTAGCTAAGGATAACTCACTTTTATATTTTTCTAGTTTTACCAATCAGTAATTTGGGGATAGTAATTCTCATTGTATAAAAATGAAATAATGACCAAAATGTCTATATTAATAAATAGTAGTTACTAAGTATTTCTTGTGTGATTTATTTTTGGTGACATGATTTCTTTCTATATATTCTATGTATAAGTACTAGCATTGCATGGGAACTCCAATAAAGAACACATAGAAAATCTGTACTGCCTGCTGGTGACTATGTGGGGAACTTACCCACATCATCCAGCCCCGAGCTTTATCTCTTTTTGTCCTTTATGCACAAAAACCACATCTGGTTGTCACACTTTGATTAGCAAGAACAGTAAGGGAGAAAAACTACAGAAGCCAAAAAGCAAGGTGACCATTTAAAGACTTTCTTGGATCCTGGAATCATGGACCAGGTCTTTGATGGATTAGTTCGATGTTCCAGTTTTAGCAGGTGTTGGGACCTATGTGCTAGGTTCTAAGATAAAAATGGTGCTTCCAACATGGCATAAAGAGCTGTAGAATTTGGATTTCATTACAAAATTAACTGCATGAAGTAAGTTGGGGAAACCACAGGGTTACATGATTAAATTTGTCTTAGAAGATTTACTTGGCTACTTTGTGGAAATAGATTAGATCCATGTTTATCTCTCTTAGGGTCCTCATTGTCGTCTAGGTTCTCTGGTATTGTGATTTGTAGGCTGGTTTTCTTTGCTTTATGTTTAAAAACCACTTATGAGTGAGTACATATGATAATTGTCTTTCTGGGTCTAGGTTACCTCACTCAATAGATGTTTTCTAGCTCCATCGCTTTGCCTGCAAATTTCAAGATGTCATTTTTTTTCTGTTGTGCAGTACTCCATTGTGTAAATGTACCACATTTTCCTTATCCATTCTTTGGTTGAGAAACAATTAGGTTGTTTCCAGGTTCCGGCTAAGACAAACAATGCTGCTATGAACATAGTTGAGCACATGTCCTTGTGATACAATTGAGCATCCTTTGGGTGTATACCCAAAAGTGGTATTGCTGGGAGAAACGATTAATAAATGGGACCTCCTGAAACTAAAAAGCTTCTTTAAAACAAAGGACACGGTCAACAAGACAAAATGCTGCCTACAGAATAGGAAAAGATCTTCACCAACCCCACATCAGACAGAGGTCTGATCTCCAAAATGGACAAAGAACTCAAAAAATTGGCCATCAAAGAACAAATAATCCAATTTTTAAAAAATGAAGTACAGAACTAAACAGAACTCTCAACAGAGGAATCTAAAATGGCTAAGAGTCACTTAAGAAAATGCTTAACATCCTTAGTCATCAGAGAAAATCAAAATAACACTGAGATTCCATCTCACACTTGTAAGATCAAAAACACTGATGACAATTTATGCTGGAAAGGTTGTGGGGTAAAGGAAACATTCCTGCATTGCTGGTGGGAGTGCAAGCTGGTACAGTCCCTTTGGATATTAGTATGGTGATTTCTCAGAAAAATAGAAAACAACTTACCTCAAGAATGAGGTAATTTCTAAAGCTTTGCTCTGCTCTGCTGTGTAGTGATTTCATCCTGGTTGGGGGGTTCTTAAGACTCAGAAAGTCTCTGTTGTGGGGCCTAGTCCTTAATGTCAATATTCAAGAGGCAAAGGCAGGAGGATCTTTATGACTTCCAGGGGCTGCATACTGAGACTTGAGAGAGAGAGAGAGAGAGAGAGAGAGAGAGAGAGAGAGAGAGAGAGAGAGACCAAGTTCCAAATTGAAGCACTTGGAAGACTTCTTAAAACTCGGGAAGGAAAAACTTTACCAGACTCTTAAGCTTCATTCTTACCCAAGGCATAGCAAGTGGTATTAACTGCTAAAGAGATTCTGCCTGGAAGGTAGATCAATTTATTAGTTTGCCAGATTGGGTTTTGATGGACTTGTTTCTTTGCTCTGTCATTGGTTCCCTACCTGGGTTGAGTAAACATTTGTTCTCATCTCCTCAGGAAAGGTCACACAACACAACTGGCTTCTTAACAAGGACTGACGCGTCCCAAAGGTGACTTGGGAAGGAGTGGTTAGATGACCTTGCCGTAGGTGCTGAGCCGTGCTCAAGTGGCTGATCTGTGTGGGCTGGAGTATCGTGGGAGCAATTCCCATGTGGCTGTCTTTTCCTTTGTGGCTTGGGATTGTATGCTTCCTTTGTTACAGGAGTGTCTGTGTGCTCCCTATAATGGGTAATAAGACATGCAGCCGTGGATGAGCCAAGAATGAGCTGTCCATAGGAGAATCCAGGGCTGTGGAGTGACGCACCTGCTCGATGGCTCGATGAATGGGATTAACCACGTGATATGGAGATGCCTTGAAAACCATTAAAGGATAAAAGAATGCTTTTCAGTCTCTGGGAGAGGTACACGTGGGTCTAGGTTGCCCGTAAGCCATAAAGACTAAGTGGCCACTGCTATGTGGAATAAAACATGAAGTTGATGCTGAAATAACTGCCCAGAGAAAGCGCGAGTATTTAAGGGGTGATTACAAAAGGTGTGCACCTAGCATGATGCACTCTTGCCTTTCCTCTGACCTAGGTCTCAATGATTCTTCCTCCTGTATTTGCCACTTCAGTCACAGCTTCTTACTCTGCACATTCTTTTAAAGAGTCTCATGCCTGTAGTGTGATGACACAAGAGCCTGTTAAGGGCTCTCAAGAGTTTATTTAGGTATAAAATAGGGGTAACCACTCACTGATACAGAACGATTTAGACATTGTCGCTGATTCAGCTGCCTTCGTCCAATCCAGTCGCCCAGTCATTCTGTCCAGGGGTGAAGAGCAAGTCACCTGCTCTGCTCCAACCACCCAAGAGAATGCGGGAACAAGAGAGCATAAGACCCTCTCCCTAAACTTATAAATTGTCCTGTCCACAGACAAGACCACACCCTAGGAGTCATATTCACCAAAAGCCATTGGCCAAAGGGGTTGAAATCCCACAACACATGCCTTTCCACTATTTTTGTCAATTATATGCTGAGTTTTTAATATATTTATTGACTGACTTATAGGAATTTTTTACTGAAACTTGACATGGTGGTGCATATCACTTTTCCCAGCACTCTTAGCAGAAGAAGGTAGGAAAATCAGAAACTCAAGATAATCCCAAGCTACAGAGTGAATTAGGGGCCAACCTGGGCTACATGAAACCTGTGGGAGCCGAGAAATGCAGACTCATTTCTCAGCATTGTCTGGTGGTCAGAGAACTTGAGAGACTAACAGGAGTAATTTGCACCTTCTAACTCAGGAGGTGGTTGCCTGGCTCTTTTGAAGTTAAGAAAACTCAGCGCCACCCTGACAGGTGATCAGGATATGCCAATGAACTTCTGCCCCTTCCACTGTAACTGTGAGATCTCCTGGGGTGTTTTCTGCCTACGGGACCAAGTGTGCATGAGTAAACCATGACTTGAGTCATCCTGCTACCTAGGCAACAGAATGCTGATGATGGGAAGTCTCGTGCTGTCATGTTAAGAAGCCTTTGTTACCTTCTCCCCCAGTTTATGGTTTTATGTATAAAAGCTGTGGAAAAATAAATGCGGGTGGTTTTCAGGATCTGAAAAAAATCCCTGAAACTTTCTCCCAATACTGTCTTGTGTCTTTATTTTCCCATGCCTCTACCCTGGCAAGAAGTGTTTTTTGTTGAGGTTGGTCCTCAAAAGAAACCCATCTCAAAAATCCAATAAATGAAGCAAGAGGGAAGGAAGATTGCATGGAACTTGGCTAAAACTTTATTCTTTCTCTCTGCTAGTGTCTCCTATCTTCCTTATCTCAGTACATTCCAGCTTCATTCATCAGCTGTTTGAATAAGTCATCATCAAGTTCTTCCAGGATTATCATCAAGTATCAGCAAGCACTATTCATTTTACCACCAGTGAATTTATCTGCCTCCCTGAATTCAAGTAGCACATTCTCAATCTAAGCCTTGATCTTGTGAATCTTTGCTGTTACTTTTCCTGAGACAAGAATGTGTCTGTTTTCCCCATGTAGAGTACCAACAACCAAACAAAGAAATGATTCCACCCAAGTCTAGCTTGGAAATCAATTAGTTTATTGGGTTTACTTATTGGAGCATATGGGATAAGTGTGAATTACCCCCCCAAAATGCTGACAAGTTCCATCTGGACATGGGTGACATTCTCCTGAAAGCTGCAAAGTTGAAGTCCTTTCTTCATTATTCACCTTCTACCCTCTGTCTCCTCCAAGGACATGGAATTCTGGGGCAGAATTTTGTGCAGGAAGGACTTGGGGGCAATTAGGGAAGGAGTGGCTGAAATCTCAGTTGAAGGTCCAATCACACCCCTACCTCCACCCCCCAGTGAGAGAACGTTAACAGGCCAAAGTTTGTTGAGAACCTCACACAGGTTCTTGGCTGTCACTTTGACTACATTTGGAATTAACTAAAACCTAAGTGACTGGATACACATGTGAGAAAATTTTCTCAATTAAATAATTAGAAGTGGGAAGACCCACCCTAGATCCCAGGTGGGAAGGTCCACCATAAACCTGGGCTACACCTTCTGGTGATAAGCTATATGATGGATGCGGAAGAAGGAAGGAAGCACTTGCTCTTTGCCTGCTTCTTCTTCTCGTGCTCCTGCTGGCAAGTCCATTCCTTCACTGACAGTAGAGCCGACTTCTTCAGTATTCTGGTGTGTACTGAAGACCTTTAGAGACACCCAGCCTCATGGACTGAGTAACTACTGGATTCTTGAATTTCCTCTGATAGGCAGCCATTGTTGAATTAGCTGGACCATAGCCTGTAAGCCACTCAAGTACATCCCATGTATATCTGTTCTGCTCCTCTGGAGAACCCTAATACAGGGTTCAATCATTCCTGCACTTATCTCTCCTCTGACTTTTCTACTTCTGTCTTTGCTTTGCTCCAAATTCTTTCCCACCCAGAAACCAGAATTCACTGTCAGAGCACAATGCTGTTCTCTAGCTGCAGACCATGTGCCTGGAAAAGAACACTTCGAATAAACTCAAACTTTTTAACATGTCTTGTCAGGGCCTTGACGATTTGAGCCCTGCTGATGCCAGCCTCTCCTTTCAGGCACAATTCAGTGAAGCACGAGTGTGCGTTCATGGTAA